AATCTCTTCATATTTTGGGAATGATTGGGTACATTTATCTTTTGCTTTTTGAATTTTGTAATTGTAGGTTGTAAATACTGAAGAGTAGGAAAGTAAGACCTTGACCTTTTTGTTTTCACATCAAGGCAACTACTCAATATGTACCCCAGTCAGTTTTCTTTGACTACCACTCACTCTATGTACCCTAACAAAAATCTTGAACATGCAATGTAATTTCCACAATCATCATAGCTGTGTATGTACTTCTAATCATGCATAGGCTAAAAAAATAAAGAGAAACTTCACTTTGTAGTCTCGGTAGGAGAGCAAGGCTGGAAATCGCTGGACCTCGCCAACCCCTGTGCCAATGGCATCGGAGTGGCTGCCTATTTCAGCATCAGACAGTTCGTTTCTGTCCTCCTCCTCCTCCTCAATGAACTGGTGTTCATCCAATTCACTTCCAAATCCTTGCATGGGCTCATCCTCCAACTCGCTTTCCTCATACTCACTGTCGGCAATGACCCAGCCGACGTTTGGAAGAGGATTGGAGTCAGATCCAGCATCATCCGACTCACTCTCCCCCTCCTCTGTGCCTGAAGCGTCTAAATTTTGATTCTCTCTGCCATCAATCCTCGGATTTTCAGTGTTCATTCCTTGGGATTCGGACTCAGTTTCACGGATCTGAGAAAGGAGAAAGGAGAAACCCTAATCGCTGGGAAACGCAATTTGAGTTTCAGGGATCTGAGTTTCAGGGATTTGAGAGAGGAAAAGAAAGGAGAAACCCTATCGCTGGGAAATGCTTAGAGGAGGGAGGCGGAGAAGGGAGGCGGAGAAGTGTAAGAACGAAGGTCTGGACGGTGAAGAATGAAGATAATGGGGTGGGTTGGATAAGGGTTGGTGAGTAATAAATGTTTTAACTTTTTTAGGGGTATTTTAGTCATTACATGTGTATTTAAAGTGTGTGGGAAGATGATTTTAGGACGGGAAAAAAAGGGAAGTGGGAAGATCAATATAGGACGGAGGGAGTATGTAGTATCTGGTAACATCAACTAAAGGGGATCGACTGAATATCTAGTAACAGTCCGTGGGATTTTTTAATAGTCGGTATGGATTCAGTTGCCGGTGGGCTTCTTAACAGTCGCTAACATTGACTGAAGAGGTTAATATCGACTGAATGTGGTACCTATAGGGGTGTAAACGGATTTTAATCGGATCGGATGTATCATTACCAAATCCGTATCCGTTTATTTTGTCGGATATCGAATTCGGATACGGATCTTGACGGACATTGAAAAATCAGAACCGTATCCGCATCCGTCGGATATCGGTCGGATATCATATATATCCGTATCCGTTTCCAATTTTTAAAATTAAATTAAACAATACTTGAATTTTAATTAAACTAAATTAAAATATTATTAAATCAACTATAATTATTTATGAGATATTTATTTTCTTATTTTTTATAGTGTATGATATTCTACGATGCCTTCATATTATAAAAAGATACACACAGTACATGTATACACATATTTTTACGTGTCTACCCATATTTTTATGTGTTTACACATATATTTTGCATATAAAAATGTCTTTTACTTTGAGATATCTATAGAGAAACAAAATATAAAAATAAAAAATTAGAAAAGACTATATATAACAGATCGGATACACGAACAAACAATTATTTAAACGAATGTCAATGCGGAGCGAATTATAAACGGATCGGATGTATGATTACCAAATCCGTATCCGTTTAGCAATCGGATATCTTTAATCGGATACGGATAATAACTGCTTTTAACGGATGCAGATATTTTCCATATAAACGGATACGGATGCAGACGGTAATCGAACTTTCAGTTTCTTTTGTTTCTCATTACCAGATTTTTTCTCCAAAATGGCACTAATTACTTTTGTTTCTCATTACCAGATTTTTGAATTGCAATTTCTTTCTCGAGCAGTATTCAAATTTATTTTTTGATAGTTCAATATTATATTTTTCCTGAACAGAATATAAAATTTGCATATCATTACATTTAAAAAAAATTGAAACAAATCTCTAACAAGAGTGTACTGTTATATTTTTAAAAACATAAATTTAAAATTTAAAATTAAAAAATAATTTTTTTGAAAATAATCACAATTTTAATTATTTGTGAAAAAAACATTTTTCAAGAATTTCATTTAGTGATCATTAACTTCTTAACTCCATTAACTTCTTACCTCCGTTAAGGTAAAATTATTTAAAATAGTTTTTTCCTATTTGAAAAGGAGGGCCTATACATGGAAAACTATGTATTACTAGAAACCATTTATGAAATTTAACCTTTTTTTTTTTTTAAAGAAAATTTTGTATAGTTCACAACCTATTGAAAATGAAAGTGGATCATTATATGAAAGTGGTTCGACTTGGCAGTTCTCTATGTCCCACCACACTGATATCTTCGCAGCCGAGTAACGCGGCTCGGCCGGCTCCGTCGAAGGAGATGCTCCCCTGCCCGAAACGCTCATCGATTCCACAACTTCCGGTGACGAATCTCAGTCGTCCAATGAGCGAAGTGCGGAGCGGAGACGAGAAGACAGTAAACCATAGGGGAGTTACCCCTGATATGATTAAAAAGTCTTCTTTCTATTCCCAATACTAAAAGCTCATAGACCAAATGGGTTCTCTAGTGGATGCTTCAAGATCCAATGGAAAAAAACTGGGGATCAACATTTATGGAATTTTTGCAAAGGTAAGAAAATCATGAAACATGTCAATACTAATTATAGAGTAGCACTCATATTTGTTCGGAAGTCTCAATCTGTCTTTGGGCTCTAATACTTCATCTAATAAGATCATGAAGAAAGGAGAATACTGGGGAAGCTTAGAAACGAAGTATATGACTCATTTGAGGAATTAACAATCAACATCTCTTAAACTAGTGGTGACAAGTGTGATTTAAGAAAAAAGTAAGAAACCAAACCTTAAAAAAAATCAAAATTTTTTAATCCAGAGATGTGGTAGGTAGGGTATGATAAATAATTCATTGATTTTACATAATCCAGGGACTTTAAATAATCTATCAAAATTTTTTAAAATCTGAATTGAATACAACCCTGTCTCTCCAACTTATATATTTTTTTATATACTTATTATTGTTCAGATTAGATTTGATCTTAATTGGGTGGCTAGAGCATGACCCAAGTAAGAAACTTTGTGTCAAATGATAATAAAAAGGTAGAATGACAACATCAAGGGGACGACAAGAAAATATTGAATCACAATGTAAACAAAAAAACGCCTAGAGATTGTTCAACATCTCGAGAGAACACAAGAAAAAGTACTCCATAGATAAGCAGAGTCAATTTATTTAATTTAGAGTAGGTATTGCAACCTTAACAAGAGCATGCTTCAATCTTTCCCAACGTCGTCGCCCTTCTGCGAGAATAGGGGAAATAACCATAAAGAAATAATAAAATCAAACCATCTGATCTCATGGAGACGTACGTGCAGATAAAGACTAGGTATTATTGAGGGTTTGAAAGATCGTTATTACCTTTGATGGTGCTTCCCTGAACTCCCAAAACTCAACTCGACTGTAATCATGTAGAGAGACAAACACTTGAGCTTGGTAAGATTGTTTTTCCCCATATTCTGTTGCAGTAAAGGCGACATAAAAGCTAGTAAAAGTATTTGCAACCCAGCTTGCCTTCACAAGCTCGCCAAATTCAAGATTTCTTCCTCTCTGCAGAGTTAACATCAGTAGGCATAAAATCAGCCAAATATTTTCATAACAACGTGTATTGAGTTAGTTGCTAGGGCATTGATGTTTGATGGTAATAAACCTTTTGATTGAGAAATTGAATTG